TCCAGTAACTTCGAAACATGCTCCAGCAGATATGGACAGATATCCCACAGGACTTCGTGCGACGCCTGGTCCATTCCATGAGACGAAGATGTGTTGCTTGCATCGCAACAAGAGGTGGACGCACACGCTGTTGATTTGTAATTGACATTTTGGCACGTTCATGTTTTGTTTTTTTATGAAATCACGCATTTTCTGAAGTCAGTATGACAAACTAAACCATTTGAACACTAACAGGAGTCTTTCATCTGTTGCAAACCGAAATTGTTTCAGATTTGGTAAAAACATAACTTTGCATTAAATCCTATTCAATGTCACAGGAACTTTTGTTGTTCAGTAAAGTTAATTAACCATTACCTAATAGTGATGATACTGTTCGTGAAAAGGTGCGCGTATCCTTCCCCACACACACACAGACACACACACAGACACACCAAACAGACACCACACACCACACACATACACCACACACACACACACACACACACACACACACACACACACACACACACACACACACACACACACACACACACACACACACACACACATGCAAATTAAGTCGATGCAATACATGTGCATTGATGGAAACGATTTTATATTTCTTTCGTATGATCGGTGTTAGAGAAGTATTGTTCACGTTGAATTACTAACGATTCATTTGACGATGCGTACAGTGAGTAGTTTGTCAGAGTTTTTGTCCTTAAACAGGAAACATTCAATAATTACAGTGCCCAGAATGCTTTTAAATCTCTTCTATAAAAATAGTTTCTCTCTGAAATGACATGTGTCACGGATTTGCTGAGCAGAGTTTCCTAAAAAAACAACCTAAATGTGGGTTTAAACCATCACCTATGACGTGGGCATCAATTATTTTACATGAAGTAGTAAATAATGTCATTAATGTCCTGAGATAAAACAAGTTGCCATGACAATAACATTCTGGTGGTCTTAAAACGTATCTTTATTACACATTATCTCCCATGGATAAACGGTTATATTATTTAAGGTTGACAAGTGGTTGATTGTACATCTAGAACAACTCTCATCCATTTATAGGAAAAAGTAAAAAGTGTTTGTTTGGAAAAATGTGTCTCCAATGCATCATTGTTTTCATGAAAATCTCTTAATGAGCAGGGCATAAAATACAATTGTATATGCTTTGGCGTCATGTAGTTTGTAATGCCGAAACGTAGCGATTTCGGAGATTTCTGTGTCCAGCATGATGTCCTGCTGGTGTTATCTGAAATAAATGTTTCTGTTTCTTTCGCCAAAAACGACCGACTACTATTAAACTATAAACGTGTTTCTGTAAATTATACATGAACCACCTGACCTCGGAAAAGTGATGATGATGAAAATACATATTAAATATTCACTGCACCATTTTCAACTAATGACGTGTCTCTCTACAAGACAGCCAAGACAAATTAAAGACTGATTTTAAATCACAGCCTCTTAAAGAAAAATGACAAAAAATGTTATATCCGTTTTCACAATGTACACTACACAAACACGTGATGACCTTATATGTCTCTCACAAGAAGCCTATTTCAAAATGACCATACTACCAGAAATGTTTTTCACATATTACAGTAAACTACATTTAAAACGAACACACTTATAACGAACTGAAGATATAACGAACTTAAATAAGTAATCCCTTTGAGGTCGTTATAACCGTAGTTTACTGCACTCTCAAAAGGCAGAACTTTCCGGCAACCACAGTACCATAACCATTCCGTTAAATTCCAGACAATTTATATATCAGTGTGGATTATTATGAAAATTTGAGTTTTTACCGAAGAAACAAAAAAGTATTGACCAGCCAAACAAATATCGCTAAAACAGCATACCTTAAAGTGCCTTCACGATGAAATTTTTTATTTGAGAGAAACCCCAAAATAATTTATGAAATGCATGCAGGAACAAAGGACAGTTTAAATTAAACATTTAGTGAATATTTCACACCACTACAGCCAACCACTCGACCATCAAAACACTTATTTGATATAGTGTTTGTAGGTATTAATCCAAGGTGAGTTCCTAATGGTTCGTATTGATCACGAACTTGTTATGTCGTTCTAGAAGGGGCATCAATCACTAAGACTTGTACATGGAGACAGTTCCTGACATTTGGTTTCCTAATAAGGCACTGTCTGTCTATTCAAGATTAAATGCCAGCATAATGGATTTGTGATGTAAGTAAAAGTAGATCCCTGCTTGAAGCCAGACAGGTCGTCAGATTTGTCCCAAGAACAAAATAGTCTCTGCCCAGACTACTTCTAATTCTTATCTATCTCTGGGTCTTGTGAGAGACGACAGAATGCTTTCATGGCAATGTTGAAATTGATAGAAGTGGAAAATGGTCACCTGGGAGATTCTTGTGTGCATTTTCTGGCGAATATACATCAGCATTCATTTAAAAATCAAACCTTCACACAAAATACAAACCAATAGAGTTCCATCATGCGTGATGAAGAAGAATATTCCATTAATGAAATCCGATAGATTCCATTATCATTGCACATGTACACAAATCTGATTCAGTTTTTAGAATATTGTATTGATCAGAATAGAGCGACAGCTACTACAAACGTTTTGTTTTAATCGTCTCTCGTCATTGCTCACAAAAACAATTTGCCATAAATGAGACGAGAATTGTCACTTCTTTATTCCCGGGGGACAACTCAATGGCAAGACTCCAAATGGTCAAAACGCCTTTATGGAATAACATTGTTCAGACGGGCAATTCCATTACAGTCAATCAATAAGAATACTTCAAATCCAGTACCATCTCATATTAGATTATGGCCTCTTATACCTGATGTCTCCATATACCTATGACGTCTCCAAGAACACTGTTTATAGCCCCGGAAAGGTGCATCTTGCTCATGTCTGAGTAGGTGTTTGGATGGAGTTGTAGGTAATTGCTGTGTCAAGGTCATAAAATATATGACAGTGCAATTTGGGCTATATGTATATATATGTGGTAATATCCGTGGCACGCCATATCTGATGACTGTAAGAGATTTATTTAGGGCATTGGCGTGATGAAGTGCTATTTTCTAAAACATATGTGACTTTAAAGGGTATGTCTTTTGAATTCGTACCAAAGACGGAGTTGTACCTATCATTTGAGTCTTACATATAAATAAATCAGTGACACGACTATTATTCTTTGGCTATGTGACGTTTGTAGGAGTGATACTTTGGTTTATAATAATATTTTGTGTTGGTTTATTCTCTATCTCTTGGCAGGCTGTACAACCAGAACAACAGCCATTAATCACAGAATGAACCTCATTGAAATCAGATCTTTTACTACGATACATTACCTCTATGGGTGAAGACCTGACACACATCAGGTGAACTTTGTATTCAGCCAATCAGCGTCGGGGCTTTTAAATTCTCGGTACGCGTGAGCAAAGCATTCAACAAGCATATCTGATTTCTGTATCGACAAATTCCCAAAGTAAAAAGTTTTGTTTTTTTTTGTGCTTAACGCCGCACTCAGCAACATTCCAGCTATATGACGGCGTTCTGTAAATAATCGAATCTGGACCAGACAATCCAGTGATTGATTTCATGAGCATCGATCCATGCAATTGGGATCGATGACATGCATCGACCAAGTCAGCGAGCATGACCACCTGATCCCGTTAGCCGCCTCTTACGACAAGCATGGTCGCCATTTGCGACAATCACAGCGCACGTTATTGTAGATTTTTCATACATCCTGTCTGAGTGCCAAGGCATCAACACCGACAAGGTAGTACCATAGAAAGAATAGTTGTGTTCTATGGGGATTTTCGTTTGTACAAACTGGAATTTCCGAATCAATATGGTAATAAAATGAAGCCAACTCGTCTCAGATAAAAAGCTGACAGCTGATTGGTTCAAGAAACCACACAATCTTTCATTAGATTGAGCGGTCAAACTTCACAGATCTTAACGCAAAGAGAGAAATCGAATCGGGGTAGAGATTGGAGTTCATTGGGAACTCAAAATGTCACCTCCGGAGACTAATCAGCTTCGAATATCTGCCGAAACAGATTCCAAGGGCGAAAAAGGCAAAACAGCGATGAACATTATCTGATTGGATCACTGTAAATCTAAGGTGACACCGGGTGTCCGCGAAAGCAACGTCCATTTTTTCGTCATGGGGAGACATTCTCAAGGGTTATCAGGGGGAAGTCTTTATAACTTTTGCAATTTAGGGATTGAAGACTCACAAGAATCAAATCTCGTTACTGTGATCCCTTCTCGCATATTAATCTGACAGGCCGTGATATGACCGATAACTGTTAAACCTCGTTTACCCCACATGACTCGTATGTTAAGACCCTGTGCATACAGTAAGGGGTAGACATGGTCACATCAATACATGCTGGTCGCAAGAAGCGACTAACAGGATCGGAGGTCAGGCTTGGTGACTTGGTTGATGCTGTGTCAGATGTACCATGATGGCGTGAATGAATGTCATAGTATCAGCGATTGGATTGTCTGGTCCAGAGTCGATTATTTACAAGAAGCTGTCATACAGCTGGTATATTGCTGAGTGCGCAAATACACACACTATGTAAGATTCGTGCATTAGTTCTTATTTCAGTATTATTGGACATATTATACTACAAAAGATATAACCCTAGTCAAATATAATAAACATATAACATCAACGCCAGAGAACACTAAGCCGAAATTTTGAGCGAAAAAGATAAATAGCGGTAAATGATTGATGACACCAAAGGGTGAGCATGTTCTAATGGTAGCACCCTCTACTCATCCAATTTGTATAAAAAATATGAGTTTGTTGCCTGACCAGACAATCCAGTGATAGACCAGACAGTTGAGTTTACGTATTTAAAAAAAATCTAAGAATAACATGTTCATTTTGAAGTGAAGAGCGACGTCTAAGGAATATGTTCGCTTTTGCAACTCTTTTTAAGATGAGGTGACTCAACATAATTGTCACATGCCCACAGAAAGGACGATATACTTACTCAAAGTAATGATCTTCATGAGTGTCAAGGACGTAGATGGTCTTGGGGTCTCTGAAACAAAGTAATAAGTGAAGGATCAGTGTTAGTATAGTAAACAAGGACTGATTCCTTAACGATAATTGCAAATGATGTATGCACGAAGTATGTCTGTTGTTAAACTTTAAATGGTACCGAGAGTCAGTCAGCAAAAACGAAAACCAAATGCGCTAAAATGGTTCAGGTGGACTGCCATCAAATATCAATGACATGAAATAAACCTAAGGAAGCGAATATATGGATGTCAACTTCTTTATTATAATAAATGATAAAGAAGTTGACATCCATATATTCTCTTCCTTATGTGAATCACTTCTAAATGCCTGTCAAAGACTTGATGAAATAAACCTGTTGTTCAGCCATGAATGATTCTAACAGTTAGATGTTAACGAAAGCACCTTACTTGTATAAACAAAACAAAATGATTAACGGTTTAGGTGGATAAGGAATCTGGTGTCTGGAACATGTATATACAAATACATTTATTGTTTAACCATAAAATATTCAAATATACAAATACATTTATTGTTTAACCATAAAATATTTTTATTGTCATCCATAAGCGTACATATATGTATAAATTCAAAATAGTCAAGAAATAATGCACTGACACATATTAAAATGGTTCAGGTAGATATTGCATGTAGTTCCCAGTAATACTAACGTCAAATAGATCACGGTGGTTTTTAAGACAGGCTTTCATTGTTTCTGCATACAATGACGGAAATTAAGGACTGCAGGATGTTTGCAGAAACAGCTAATCACCTAACAGCAAACTCATTACCACCGTCTTCCGATTTGTAAGAAACACTGGCAATTGTATAACGATGTACATGTCTTATTGAACAATATTTCAACCAACATTATATTATATTCTACCATGACACTTAACAATGTTTGATTCCGATTGGTCATTATGAAATTAAAATCAGGTATCTAACTCCATTCGATACCTCACAATGAAAACATACTTGTTCTGGCAAAAAGGTCTTCATGCCTACATTTCACAACTATCGATACAATCGAACATGCCCCTTTTTCGATGATTTTAAAGAGCGTCATACGAAGCTTGCTCAAAACCTGTTTGATCACGGTTACAGCAATCAAGGCTTTAGCAAAGTTTTCTATCTATCTATCTATCTATCTATCTATCTATCTATCCGATGCAATGCCATGATCACTATTATGCGAACACCTGGTATCATCACTAGCTGATAGTGATTCACAATCACATTCTTATACAGTTCGGAATCGTTGAAGGGACTATACTTATAGCAGCCAATTCATTAGATTACTAATGATTATCGCTTTTATGTTGAAGGTCGTTGTCATTCTGGTACATTAGTACAAAAAGATTAGTTGTCCTTTAGAAAGAAGCTCAGAGGAAGATATCTAATCATTTAAACGTTTTTTCCGTTTTCCCCTCATTACTAAAGACATTGATGTTCTGAAATATCCTAGAAATGTGATGCGTTAAACTCTGGCATTTGAAAATTCTTCACCGTGATCCACGCAGTAGAACAATGAACTGATAAACGCTATAAATATGACAAGAATTACCTGTACAGGGAAACCTTAACTGGAGAAGACTGCATTTTAATAGGACAAAATGTAATAAATGTCTGACAATGAGTGAATGAGTAGAGTTTTTACGCCGTTTTATTCCCCCGCATTATTCCAGCAAAGCAATATCACTTGACACTTTGTATCCATGTCGGGAATCGAACCCGGGCTTTCGAGCGAAATGGGTAAAACAAAGAGAGAGAAACCCATCTCTCTGTTTAGTAATTATTCGGAAAGGGTTTCTGTATATTCCTGTATAATTGCTAATTCTAAATATACTCAACAACAAAAGTTCCTGTGACACCAATATTTTAGTGTATTTTTCAAACAAGTAAAGTTTGGTTTTCAATATTATAGTACATGTATGGAATCAAGTCACAAAAACGCCACTGCTACAGAAAAGCACGCATTCCATGTAAATGTTGACTTTTATGCAAGCTCCATGCATTTCATTTCCAAAGAAAAACATGTGCGTTAACGGGATTCCATATGCATTGTTTAGCATCGTGCTGACAACAACCACTTAGAAAAACAACAAAATTGCGCAATTATTCAACATTACGAAATGCCACGCCTGTCCGAAAACGAGCGTCTGCGAGCCATTGGTATGCTTGAAGCAGGATCGAGTCAACGTGATGTTGCAAGACAATTTAACGTCAACAGAAACACCATTTGGTGTTATGGCAACGTTGGCAACAGGCAAATGCAGTCAGAGACCATCCTCGGAGTGGCAGGCCACGCGTTACCCATAATCGACAAGACAAATGAATTCGAACAACACACCTACGAAATTTATTCCAGCCAGCAACTGTGACTGCAAGAAGCATCCCTGGCCTTCGACGAATATCTTCACAAACCGTACGTCGTCGCCTCAGATGTGCAGGGATTGTCGCCAGAAGACCCGCCAGACGGCCCATTTTGACAGGAAACCACCGTCAAGTACGTCTTCAGTGGTGCAGACAGCAGTGGGGACAAGTTCTATTCACTGACGAGTCTCATTTTCACCTCAGCCACAGCGATAACCGGATTCGAGTGTACCGACGTCGAGGTGAACGTTACGTCAATCATTGTGTCTTGGAAGTAGATCGGTTCGGGGTCGGCAGCGTTATGGTATTGGGTGGGATTACAGCAAGACAGAGGACCCGTTTGATAGTGGTAGAGGGAAATCTCAATGGACAGCGCTACCGCGACAAGATCATCGGCCCTGTTGTTCTACCGTTTTTGCGTCGTCATGGCCCAGGCATTACTTTCAACATGACAACGCCCGGCCTCATATTGCTCGACTTGTTCAGGATTTTCTTCAACAAAACAAAGTGAATGTCATCCCCTGGCCGGTTCGCTTTCCTGATCTCTCACCAATCGAGCACATGTGGGATGAGATGTATCGGCGCCTTCGACGTCAACCACGTGTTCCACAGACACTCCAGGAACTGCGGAACATGCTCCAGCAGATGTGGACAGATATCCCACAGGACTTTGTGCGACGCCTGGTCCATTCCATGAGACGAATATGTGTTGCTTGCATCGCAACAAGAGGTGGACACACACGCTATTGATTTGTAAATTGACATTTTGGCATGTTCATGTTTTTTTTATATATGAAATCACGCATTTTCTGAAGTCAGTATGACAAATTAAACCATTTGAACACTTACAGGAGTCTTTTATCTTTTGCAAACCGAAATTGTATAAGATTTGGTAAAAAACATAACTTTGCATTAAATCCTATTCAATGTAACAGGAACTTTTGTTGTTCAGTATAATGATAAAAAAAAACAGTGAAATTAGAGTGAACTACTTTGGTGCAAATGTTGACGTTGTATTAGTTAACATACGGCACACGCATTGTACGGTAACGATTAAAGATAAAAAACATTGTTTACATAAATAAACAAAAGCTCTTTCAGCCCAATGGCATACAAAAAACAAGAGTTTTCGTCTCTATAGCATCAATCATCGCCTGGAATGAATAATGAATCCATACATAGATATGATTAATCTAAACATAAATGCAGTGGGTGGTCTACGGTATTAATCTCCCTCATTGCAGCTGCTTTCATACACTGTGGCAACATCGCATTTGAAGATCCTGTCCATGATTAATGGTAACAATGTCGCACGAACGATTCATCATGTTTCCCAGACATGTTATTTCCCTTCTTCCACAGGAAACTTGAACCATATAACAGATACCATGTACAGTGTCAAGCGAAAGTGTAAATGATATACATAGGACATGTTTGAGCAAAAAATAGATTATTTAGAAATATTTTCTGTTCATCCTATTGGTCTTTGTGAGGATCATTCATACGGTCTGAAAAGAAAGCTGTAGGTCTTTAAGCCTTTCAAGAACTCACAGAAGACAGATGTTCAATGGTGAATGGAAGCATAATTAAATATTTCATGATAAAGTTATGGAGAAAATGTACAGCTCACCCACTCTTGTACACGTATTATTCAGGAATACTACTTACAGTTAATTAAAACTGAACGAACGAACGAACGAACGAACGAACGAACGAACAAATGAAAAGACAATAATATTATTCAAAGAAATAAAAACACAACCAGATCAGGAAACAACAGGTGTCACGTTGAATTTAATTAAGGTTCGCTTCGTGGTGCATTCGTTTAAAACCAAAATTGGTCTTATACATTTCACCGTTCTTACACGTTTCTGTGTTCTCCTTTGAGGGTTATGAGTAATTCATAGCTTCAAATGTCAAACTGTTTATTTGCGTTTCCTACATAGGGAATACACTACAAGCAGGTGTCGTGCGGCCTCCATTTTCCTTTACAAAGAACGATCTAAATGGCAGACACACTTGAACAGCTAATTTTGGTCTGAGAATAGTTAACTGATGTTTCTCAGACAAAGCACTAATGGCTGGTCTATATTTTCGTAAGATGACACTGCATCAGGGACTGTATACATTATTTAAGAGTATCACGACTCGGACAGATGAATTAGTCTGTTGGAGTTTGGACACGATTTATCATTGGTTGAATCTGTGATACCTGGGACGAATATTTCTGCCGGCAGCATAATGACCAAGTATTCTCTGTAGATGACAATGGACAAAACTAGCTGCCGCGAGGTCATAAAAAATCTCCAAACGAAGGGCTAACGTCAACTACAATTCATGTGGACATGGTGGCAACTTTAGGGGATGATGGTCCTTTCTCTGCCACCGTTAAGGAGTGCGAAGCGGACTTCATGAGGGGAAGTGAGAGCCCCGAAGTTGATCCAGGATCAGGAAGACGTTAAACTGGTCGACAACTCACCACACGTCACATAGCCAATACAGTAGGCATCTCTCATTGAGGCATGAGAAAGGTTCGGGACGCTGGGTTCCAAGGTTTCTGATTCCTGATCAGTAAGGCTCCAGGTTCATCATCCCTTTGAGTATTTCCGTCGTTTCGAAGGAGTCGAAGCGGATCCAGCTGATTTTGCTGATCGATTTGTAACGATAGTCTTGTATTCACCACCATCAGACAACGCATAAACAACAGCCAAAGCAGTGGAAACACCAAACGTCTCCTCCGATGAATGCAAAGTCTGTTACATCAGCTGGCGAGGTTTCCTGGGTTTCTAAAGTAATCCTACCAGAGGACTATCTCCCGAAAGGTCAGAGGTCATTAATTGCCAAGCTTATGCTAATCTAATTAGGCAACTGCGTGGGTACACCAAGGCTAAACGTCGTGGAAATCTGACTGAGGGTGTGTTATTCCACAAGGACAGTGCAATATGCACATGTCTGATGTCACCATGGCTACAATGCAGGACGGTGGTTTGAATTCCCTGAACATCGCCCGTATTCACCAGCCAAAGTAAAAGTAGTGACATCATATTTCCACTTCGTCCCAAACCTGACGAGAGAGCTATCTTATGTAAATGATGGTGTCATTTCTGTCATGGAGAAGCTTCAACACCTCAAGGAGGAAGCCTTCCACACCAGCGGACACTCCATCATCGCTGTCAGGCGTGTGTGGACCTTAGAGGGACACAATTCGCCATTGTGTCCAAATTTTATTCTATCGGTCCTTTCTTAAAATATATGAGACCAAATCCAATTCAATAATCAACGGAAATCTCTGCTAAAAGCAGATCCCATGTACTATTCCAACTTAAAATATCAAATAGTGACGATACCAGGTGTTCGCGAAAAGATGAGCGTATCCTGCCCCACCGTTGACATCCGTCAAAAACACGTGCAAAACATCACAAAACATCACAAAACATCAATGACCCGGAAATGAAATATCTAATGTTATTCGAACAGTATATTGACGATATGTGGATGACTATTTCTCCTCCGAATTCTGTCTGTGTAGCAAACTCTGCTCTGGCGATAGATTAATTACTTTCTAGATAGATCCCTTTTAAGTACAATATATACTGAAAAGTATGATAGTATGTGTAACAGTTCGCACAACTCAGACCCCCAGTATGTGTAACAGACATTTTGAGAGACTTAAAGTAACCTCTGTACGTGATGCTGTTGGTAATAACCAACACACAATTTTTTTAAAATACCTAAGTGTAAGTAAAATGAGGAATTCTTATCAAAGTCATAATAGGTTTTCAAAGTCTTCTGAACTTTATAGAATTGCTAATTGTAGAGGGTAAGAAAAGGACCCAACCATATCTTGCCATTATATTTTGAAAACCTTTCACGAAAACCTTTCAAATAATCTTTACTAATAGTTCTCCTAAATGACAGATACAAAGACAAACTATAAATAGATCTCATCAGATAAAATTTTAAATTGAAGAAAACACAGTATCATTAATACTTAAGCAGATTTTTATCAATGCGTCTATCTTCATCAACAATGACAGGTCAAATGCGATCCCTTTTATAACCGTACTCATTAAAGCATTCCCACATGTAAAATCGGAACGATAACAATCCAAAATATCGACTCTGAGTAGTTGTCTCTGACTTGGTAAACCTGAAATAGTTACCCTGTCAGATCTGATCCAATCTAGCTAAAGATCAAAGTCAAATATAACCAATACTTCATGCTTTGCGATCAACAGCAAAAACATGTTGATAAGCAACTTTCAAATACGTTCTCCTTTATTCAAAAATATATTCTGTATAACTAAATATACCACGTATTTCCAGACTTTGAGAAAAAAACGGGTAGAAACTGTATCCGTGTCCATTATATGTATACTTCAAAATATGATAAAGATGGAAAGGTTTTAAGTCGAGTTGTGTCGAGTGAGTGAATGAATGAGGTTCAGGTATCATGACGAGTCAACTTCCATATAGGTCTTCCAACGACCAACTTGGTGCAGGCCTAAAGCCCGATCTTAGACGTTTACAACTTTCGTAAAAGCCACGAGATCGGATATGGTGTTGACATTATCAGCCATGAATAGCTATTATCATATGACGCTTGCACACCAAAAGGACACAAGTGTGTGGGTATAGTTTTTAAGCAATATACCAGCAATATCACTGCGGGGGACACCAGAAATGTTGACACATTTCAAAGTTAACCTTTCGTTTGAGAAAGTAATAAAATCGGACATGAATATCCGTACGGTGAAGCCACACACTTACGGGAAGGACATGTTGGGCTTGATGGGGTTGCTCCACGGGAAGGGCTGTTTGAAGGAGGAGAACATGAAGTACAGGCCATAGCTCATCTCTAGTCCATGAGTCAAGCTCCGGATATACGTCATCAGCAGCAGGGCGACGGCGACACCTGGTGGTGAAAATAGTAAACATGTTGTGACACTTGGGGACCAAAACTGTCGAGGCTTAGAAATTGGCACTTGGCCCATAGCCACGTGACAGAAGCTCAGTGGTAATTGTACTTTTGAACTTGTTTACATTTAAAAAATGAAATATGTTAAGAACCCCTTTAACACAGAACTTGCATTGTTTAGAAAGTCATCGTACATCTTCACATGCAAGGCAACTAGCCGTGTTTGTTATTGTCACCTAAAAGTTACGAACTTTGGACAAATACAGTGAAGAAGTATTATGGCTAATTAAAATGAAATAGAAGCAAAGACCGATTCCCTACAAAAGAAACTTCAGGGAAAACTTATCCATGAGCAATGCCATGATCAAAATTGAAATCCCTTGAATATCGTTACCCCCATTCCTGAGAAACTCAGCTGAAGACATAGAAGTGCTCATGTTAAATATTATTTAAATGCTTCACGAAAATATCTACTTATAGCCTTGTACCGTAGTTACATGTATAGGTCCAATACATGTAAATGACCACAATCTAAATTTCTTTTACATGAACTATTTGAAAACTTTCATAACAATGTCTCAGCGTTTTTCTCAAATTTTACAGACGTGTGGACGAAAACGGATATATTACATACCTCATCCTCTTATGACTGTCATATTATTCGTCATAGAAATAACAACTGGCTTACAGATGTTCGGTGGTAACAAAGATTATAATCCCTATGGAGCACACATGATACAAATTGCTTCAGCCGTGGGTACTGGATCACACTTAGTTACAGTTTAAGCAGGCACTCAAGCGCATCGTGGTGCTGGGAGATTGTGGAGAACGTGCAATCAACTGAAGAATGTGGCCATAAAAACAATCAATAATGGAGCAAGCATATAAAAATACTTCACAAAAAGTTCATATTACCCTTTTTAGAACTATAATATTCTTGTAATATGCTGCAGGTATTGAGGCATCATGGCAAATTTCCATGTAGTTAGCAAATGCATCTACGCGCGAGGTTAAGGGCACAATGTCACAGGTGAGGTGAAATGGGGTTTAACGTCGCGTTCAAGTTGTGTGTGTGTGTGTGTGTGTGTGTGTGTGTGTGTGTGTGTGTGTCCAGGATACCCCACTCAGACATTGTACACTGACTTAGAGCCGACCAGTCATAGTATTATCCTCTTTATGTCGACCAGGGGGTCGAACCGCTGTTACAAAGGGCTCACCTTTAAGAATTGGTACTAGGTGACTGAAGATCCCGAGCAAGCCTCGTTTGTAGAGAGCGCCGAGCTTGAGTTGGACATAGCAGACTGGGACACACACCAGGATCCCCAGCAGATAATAGGCAACTAGGAACAGACCTGTAATACAAGGCACAATATTAAAGGGCAAGTTCACACGGAAATGAACCAATTTTTCTTGTACTTTTTACACATTAAAAGTGTTAACAAAGAAGTGTCATAGACAAAAATATAAAAACATCATATTTAATTAACATATTTTTTGCATTAAAACGATTTATATTTTTCACATTTACCAAGTGTTCTATTTCCATAACAAAATCACCATGGCTTATGCCCCTTGCAATATGACGTCATTGGTGCCAATTGATAAACATTATGACGTCATCATGCTTTGTTAGAGCCGCTTCACGTGGTGTAGGTACAGTTTTGTGATTCTAGCGTCTCAGATGCCAGCCAGAATTGTGTTATGCTGAGTCACCACTGCGCCGGAGTGTGTCGTAGACCATGTTGTTTTACCGCAAACTGGTCCTTGATATCTTTTGCGTTGAGAATAGACAGGGACCCAGTTGAATTGGCACCAATTACGTCATAATCTAAGGGGGATAACTCAGGCCTATTTCGCTCGTAAAACGAAGGCCTCATAAAGGCATATCGTTTTAACACTATTGTGAGCTTCCTACTTTCACTGTGAAAAAAATGAGTGTCTAAAATTCTAAAATTGCGTTTTGTTTAGAAAAAGAAAGAAAGTGATTTTTGCGTGTACACTTCCCCTTTAAGTATAATCAAAATGTCAACGAAAGAGAATAACCATTCTCGAATGTCTCCCCAAGTAGATGCTATTGGGCGTAAAAGGTAAAATAGTGATGATATTTACAGGACTGGATCACTGAAAGTCAGTGATGAAACAAGGTGTTCGCGAAAACGGTACGCATGTGCCGCTCTACCCTAGGCATCTGCCACTAACATAATTTGCATTAAAAAACTAAGTTCGAGTAAGTAAGGAGGTGTGAAAACTCCGTGTAAATCTACAGAACTCTAAAGCATCCCTTAGGAGCATTTTGACGAGCAAACATTAATATTTAGGAAAGTATAACGTTTTATAGATGAGAAAACGGAGCCGAAAGACCGACAAAACGATCACTGATCACCACTGGCAGTAAAGAACATTCTCTAAGTGTTTTAGATCATCGAATTTCATAAAAAAGGTGACTAGATACATCACTCCTCAGGATCGTTCTGATATAATATTTATGTCATTATCATAAATACGTATTTTCATGTGATTTTGTTGGAACTAAAACACTTAAAAAAATTATTGGCAGTCTGACGCATGACCTCAATGGTTGTCCTCCAGCGTCTGGGTCGTATCAGAAGACAAGTCCCATGAATAATTCAGGGAAATATACCCATCTCATGTCCCCAGACTGACATGACTATCCTACACATCAAAGAAAGGCCACTGCGGCACCTTGTGTAATATCGGTGCCCATATAGTTCTGTACATTACGTTTAAAAACAACTAATTGGCGATGGTTTTATTTCAACTACCAGAATCACGTTATTACTTAATTAGTCTTTGTAGGAAAATCGTTCGTGAAATGAACATTTAGGAATGAAAATCGTCAAAATTCGCATGTCCATCCCATCAGAATTTTCATCCAGGATCCGACAAGAGAAACCCTCTAGGATTAATTGCAGCTTACAGTACTCGCAGTATTCAAATATTGAGATAAGGGATGGAAAAAAGATAGCTTGGAGCAAAAAGCCCGAAGCTGTCCGTTAAACTAAGAAATCGTGTCATTAGTTGATAGTTCCCAACGGGACGGGAGTCCTGAAGTTAGGTGACTGAGTGTCTTCAGGCGTCGATCATACCTTCTGGAGAAGTAAATCACTTGCCAGTACTCTGGGAGGATTCTTCCCAATCTATCATTTGTCTGAAAACCCGTTCTACACTTTTTCGTTCCTATCCATCAGACACCCATCTGACATTTCCACTGAATTACCTTTGACTTACAGACCCATACACCGATGTTTCGTCCCATCCATTGCTCTACCATCTTTAACATATGCTTAACCATCCATCACTTGATCATATCAACTCCATGTTTCCATCATCCACCATTCCTACTACCACGTACAGATATTACTATCCATCCATCCATCCATCCATCCATCTGTGAACACATATATCATCTACCTACACATATATTTGTTTATTAATATTTCTAATCATCCATCCATCCTCCGTATACCAATCTATCATCCACTTTCTATCATCTACCCGGCGGCACGGGTGGCCCAGTCGTCTAAGGCGCCGCGATTCGCTGTGCAGAGTTGCGTCCCTTAGGCACGCCAGAAACCTATGATTGTGGGTTCGAATCCCGGTTCGTCCCGATTATGTTTCTAGGGTTGTCAGCACCATACCCGTGCTCGTGGGTTTCACCGAAGTGGTAAACGTCTGAGACCTGCATCACTTCGGGCTTTCCTTCCATATTAAGCTGACACGCCGTGATATGACTGGAATACCGTTAAAAGCGGCGTTAAACCCAACTCACTCACTCACACTCACACATATATTTGTTTATTAATGTTTCTAATCATCCATCCATCCTCCGTATACCAATCTATCATCCACTTTCTATCATCTATCCATAATCTATCATTCGCCTTTCTATCTACCATCCCCTTTTCTATCCTGCTAAACATCCATCTAGCATATTTCTATTTACCCGCCCATCTATCATCTATCCATCCCTCTTTCTCTAAGTCTAGCCACCTTTCTATCTATCGCCCGTCTTATTTGTTTGATTGTTTGTTTAACGCCGCACTCAGCAATATTCCAGCTACATGACGGCGATCTGTGAGTAATAGAGTCTGGACCAGATAATCCAGTGATTGACAACATGAGCATCGATCCACGCAATTGGGATCGATGACGTGCATGGTCCAAGTCAGCGAGTCTAACCATCCGATCCCTCTAGTCGCCTCTTACGAGAAGCAAAGTCGCCTTTTACGTCAAGCATGGGTAGATCTTTTCTACCCCGGATCTTCACGGGCCGCTCGTCTTAATTTCTATCTATACACCCATCTCTCTATCCAACCATCTACCAGAAAACAAACTTTCTATCAATTTATCCATCATGTATCCATGACGTATTTTTGGAAAATACCGATTATGTACAATACCAATTTGACCAACAACTTTAACCCTACAATAACTCCTGATCCATGCATCTTATTGACATCTGCACTGAGGCGGCAGATCACCAATCATCGCCTCCAATGACAGGCTGGAGATGATGTGTATATAACCTCCTTCCTCAACATCTCTCCGAGGCCTCATCACTGATGTTATGACAGATCAGTGACCATCTTCTTTACCAGACCATAGACCTTTAAACACGTTACATGGGCGCCGCTGGGCATGTAGGATATGATGGCAGGAGCTGATGAAGCTTCAACTGGGCGCTCCACGGAGATCAATGTATGATCTCCGTCGTTCCAAAATACCCCTGTGGCGTTGTCTTGATACAAGCAGCACGAAGCGCCATTAGAAAATTGTAATATTGTAAGTAAAGATTAGAACGGGCCACCAATATAATGATTCAAAGAAGCCACAATTAGAACGGGCCACCAATATAATGATTCAAAGAAGCCACAAAATCAAAGTAAAAGTCTCAACTTTTGAGGTATCCCTTTTTGTCCTAAAATCCGAAATTGATTTTGAATCTAGGTATATGTCTTACATATATTCGGAAATAGTGCACATTTATATTTTCCGGTTGAAAATATCAGAGGCAGTCTGAGAGGTGGATTTAAATAATTTTGGCTATGAAGTGCCCCCTGTTAGTTTTGCTTGTTTGTTTGTTTGTTTGTTGTTTAACGTCTCACTCTGCAATATGCCAGCTATATGACGGCGGTCTGTAAATAATCGTGTCTGGACCAGACAATCCAGTGACTGACATCATGAGCATTGATCTACGCAATTGGGATTGATGACATGCATCAACCAAGTCAGCGAGCCTGACCACCCGATCCCGTTAGTCGCCTCTTAAGACAAGCATGGGTTGCTGAAGACCTATTCTAACCCGGATCCTCACGTGTACCATCGGGTAGTGATGGAATTATGTATTGAATGATCACAGTATCATTTAGTTGCCAAAGGCAGGTCATCCGTTGTTTGTGCAACTGAGAGTGTCATACACCATGTTCATGTACCTCATTAAACCAATTTTATTTCGGAAGAACGCCAGCCTGCCGTGTTGATTCTTTGGCAAACTACATAATTGAGAAACACCTTTGAAAGACCATTTAATGCAGAATCATTGTGAACGAATTACATCCATCAAGGGAACATGTCTCTGATAAACCTTAGAAGCCGCTGCATGCAACGGTAGGCTTAGCACCTTAAAATTACGAGAATCACACCACATCAACACAGCTGATATCTACAATTGTGTATGGTCTTATGGAGAATAGATGCTTTCTATTGGACTATTTGTAAGAGCTGTTGCAAGAAGGTAAAGGTCACGTCAAGTTAAAACAGCTTTCCCCAGAACCGTCTTGGACAAAATGGAATGTAATCAAGACATGATAGGAAGAGTATACATATCATTGCTGTCTCATCTTACACGAAATATTAACTTGTGTGAACTTTGTGTGATGATGGAGCATAAGAGCGTCTGTCTGAGACGGTCCTTCGGAATGGGATTGTTTGTGCCATCGCTACTCATTCCACGCTTGTCCAAAGCTTCCTTTCATATTTCCCTGATAGACAAAGTTATATCAGCTTCAGAAGATAATAAAATAGTGCCTTCAATCCGATGTTCACAGAGGGCACGAATTCAAATAATGCAGAATGCAGTTTATGATACCGACACTAATGAGAAGTTTCATGTGGGTTAGAAACTATCCATTAACATTTTACCCTCTTGAATCGCATCCTAGTGATCGGGGATAAAATACGAAACATCAAACATGACTGTATCCGTTTTAAACATGCTTTTGAGGGCATCCCACAGTAGTTGATCGGAGAAATATGGCATTCCAGTGATGACAAAACAGACACAAAACCTCCATCAACGTAAACATCGATAAACAAAGAGCTCGATCACCTC